TACCTACTATATGTAGGTGTGTGTAAATCTAAAATAATACACAAGCAATCTAAACACTACATGTCTACTGCAGCGGTTAGATTGCCTAGAGCACATTGACATTCTGGCTTGGGAGACATGGGGCAAGAGACACAGAAGGGAGCGAGACATGGGGGAAGAGAGACGGTAGGGAGCGAGACATGGGGGAAGAGACACAGAAGGGAGCGAGACATGGGGGAAGAGAGACGGAAGGGAGCGGGACATGGGGGAAGAGAGACGGAAGGGAGCGGGACATGGGGGAAGAGAGACGGAAGGGAGCGGGACATGGGGGAAGAGACACGGAAGGGAGCAGACATGGGGCAAGAGACACGGAAGGGAGCGAGACATGAGGCAAGAGACACGGAAGGGAGCGAGACATGGGGGAAGAGACACGGAAGGGAGCGAGACATGGGGGAAGAGACACGGAAGGGAGCGAGACATGGGGGAAGAGACACGGAAGGGAGCGAGACATGGGGGAAGAGACACAGAAGGGAGCGAGACATGGGGGAAGAGACACAGAAGGGAGCGAGACATGGGGGAAGAGACACGAAGGGAGCGAGACACGGAAGGGGGCGAGACATGGGGAAGAGACGAGACATGGGGAAGAGACACGAAAGGGAGCGAGACATGGGGAAGAGACACGGAAGGGAGCGAGACATGGAGAAGAGACACGGAAGGGAGCGAGACATGGGGAAGAGAGCGAAACATGGGGAAGAGACACGGAAGGGAGCGAAACATGGGGAAGAGACACGGAAGGGAGCGAGAAATGGGGAAGAGACACGGAAGGGAGCGAGAAATGGGGAAGAGACACGGAAGGGAGCGAGACATGGGGGAAGAGACACAGAAGGGAGCGAGACATAGGGGAAGAGACACGGAAGGGAGCGAGACATTGGGGAAGAGACACGGAAGGGAGCGAGACATGGAAGGGAGGGAGTTTTCGTTCAAAAGGTATATTGTACATACTATATGGAGGTGTGTGTAAATCTAAAATAATACTCAAGCAATCTAAACACTACATGTCTACTGCAGCGGTTAGATTGCCTAGAATGCCCTGCCACAATTTAACATCAAACCGTTTTAAGAACAGTATTATATAAACCGCAGCCAATACTGTTGCAGAGGGACCTCCCCATCTCCACAGATAACGTGGAATTACCAATTCTGCAATATCAGTGTCAATCTGATTTTATTTTGGAGATACTGGTTGTTTAGAAGTACTGGCCAGCCTTTCTAACTCTTAAATGGTTTTGTACTAAACTGTCACCAGGGAACTCTAGGCAACATAATTGTGACTGTCTGATACTGTACGAGTATAATGGTAATGCATATTACAATAACAGCACTGGATAGAATTCTAAAAGGCACAATGTGTGAGTAAGATGTGTAAAGTATTAGAGGAAAATCTAGAGTCAACCAGATCTTAAGAACCATTAAGGTTTGGAATCATAGCAACAATAAGGTCCACTTTTCTTCCATTAAACATTTTTGATGTATGGATCCATTTTAATTGTCCAAGACGTGCCTTCCCACCACTCTTTATCTGCAAGTGAAACATTGAAGTAATAACCCAATTGGACATGCACTTACACTATTGAAAACGGAGGAGTAGTTGGGTCTCTGGGGCGTGCTGGGTACACTCTTTGAGCTTGGAGATCCTCCACCAAGCCAGCCGGTCACCCACCTGGTCACGCCGCGACGCTCTTCGATCAGGAGCTGGTGAAACAAAGACATTACAACTAGGACACAAGTGGTGGCACACTGAGCACACTGAGCACACTGCTAATTTATGGATTTAGTGACCCTATTTACTTATCAAGAAACTGCTTAAATAAAAGAGTAAGAACAAACTCTACTTCAAAGACCTCCTGACAGTCTAGTGTAAACTACAATGTATACCCAAACGAGCTGACATAGGTCCCATGGTACCTCTCACAGGTTAGCATAATCCATAGTGTAACCCTCTCACAGATTGTCATAAGCCATATTGCAACCCTAAGCCACATAGCCCCTGTGGTCTAGTATAAACCATTACACAACCATTACCCTTCACAGGCTAGCATGAGCCATGTTGCAACCCTTAACGGGCCAGCATGAGCGCCAGTTAGGAAATGCTGAAAGCACTGAGCTAATCTTGTCCCAGCTCTTGCACGCCACCTTTGCCATCCGAGATTGGGAGAGCTCTGGTTTTTGTAAAACCGCTTCAAAAGGAGTTAAATAGAAAAGGATGGCGCTCAAAGACACATCGCACAATAAAATAGTGATTACGTGTACCCCCTTCTCAGGCTACCAAAGGATAGATTAGAGTACTTATTAGACTGGAATGAGCTACACGCAATCTTTCTGCAGGCTAGCAAGAGCTATAATTTACCCCATTCAAAGAAAGGAATCTCTTTACCTCCTCCATCTCAGCTTTGTCGATTCCGAGAATGCTCCCCATTAATCTTAGCACTTCGTGGCGTTTATTTTTAGGAGTATGGAAGTGACCAACAAACAAGTTTCTCATTAAAACCCTGGAAAGCACAAAAGAGAAAGATTTTTCCTCAGACAATGCAAAATACACAAACTGAAAATCACATGTAATCTACGGTAAACATATGTGTATTTCCAACTGAACTGAAAAGGCAGGAGCAAATTGTGGCTTAAAACATGCAAGATATGAAAATTAGTAAGTTTCATATACAAGATGCGGCATTTGATAGGTGTCTTGCCCCTCTCTGTATTCCTCATGACAAGCATATTTGAGGACTGACTCATCTAGCCTTGGGGTTCTGAGGTGGCACTGTTCTAAATGTTAAGACATGCCATGAGTTAATTGAAAGCAGCAGGGACATTTATCTGTGGTAGATTGAGCACTATGGGAAAAGTAGTTCAGAAACATATGCAAGGCCAAGAGTAGCAATTTTCAGTAGCTCAGGGTAGCTAAACTCCAGAGGCAGCAATTGCCCAAAGCACTTGCCTTGCAAAGACTTCTCATTGAGCTGCATTGGGAAGTCTGTGATTGGACAGACAAAGAAAGACTGGGTGGGGCTAGAAGGGGAGGGATTGCAAAGGCTTCAGACAAGAAAACTACAGGTTTTGCCAGCTGTTTTCAGATATACCACAAAGACAAAAATGCATAATTAAATACATGCAAGTTTTCATTGGGGTTTTATGTACTAAACAGTGATTTTATTTAATTTTGTTTAAAAAAAACAAACCCACAACTGAAAAGGGTTTAAATGAGCAGATGTTTAAAGTGGATTAATGCTTTGTTTACGACTCCTTCAAAAAAAGAACAAAAAACTTGCAAATCACCAATGTATTAAACAATCCAGCTAAAAGATAAAACTGTAACAGACAGTTACTATGATTCCAAATAAGGATGCAGAATTTTTTGTAGTTTGCAGACACATGTAGAGTTTTTATCTCAAGTAGCAGATAACTGGGCCTCAGTGCAAACAATGCTGCTTCGCTTTTGATGATTAAAACAAAAAATGTATAAAAAGGGAAAAGGCATGAGTACTTTTTTTTTTTTTTACAGGCTCTTTAAAGAGTCTGAAACCCCACACATCTGGAAACCATCCCTCCACTCGCTCCTCTTTGCCATAAATGTATTTGGATGACTTGAGATTTTGTGTTTCTGAAACTTTCAGTTTATCTCTCTTGAAGTAAACCACTGCGGTCACAGGCCTGAAGTTACCAAACATCCAGGGTTATAATTAATGGCTGCGGTTTTGCCAAATTCTGCATAGGCAAGAGATTACAGATCTGTCATTTGAGGGAATATAATCCGGGCGAGGGTCTATTAAATATTTTGAGCTGTCAGTGATAAGAATGCTTAATAAAGTAAGAGAGGTCCAGGCACTCCTTGGTTCAAGACAGGCACTTTATTAGGAACCACAACAGCAACGTTTCAACCCCAAAAGGTCTTTGTCAAGCTTGACCCCAAGACCTTTTGGGGTCGAAACGTTGCTGTTGTGGTTTTTTATTAAAGTGCCTGTCTTGAACCAAGGAGTGCCTGGACCTCTCTTACTTTACTAATATTTGGAAATCTGGTGTTTGATTCCGGCTCAGCAAGCACCCTGGCTCAGATTTGTGGGAGTGAGTGCAGTTCCACATATACTATCCATAAGAATGCTTAAAGCGGCTCTGTCACAGGCTTAGGTTTTATTTTAAGGACTCCTACCCCGTCCCAAACTACATGTGGCTTCAATGTCACCCCCACCCCCAATGTATTTTTTGGCATCATTTAACATTCCTTTGATCCTTCATCTTCCTATCTGTCAATATCTTCTTAAGCATGGCAGTGAGGTCTATGACTTCTTGCACCCTTTTTATGCTAATGATGGCTGCGCATGCCCAAGACACAGAAATAAGGAGATTGCACTGGGCATGTACAATGCTCACTGCAAC